GTCCTTCTTCTGAAGAGCAGGTGATGTGATGTTGTGGAGTCCTTCAGACTTGCTGGCGGCTTAGGTCTTAATCTGTGGGTGAAGGTGCTGAGTGACCCAGCTTTGACCCAGCCGGGCAAATACGACCTTTGGCACAGAAACCCATACTTCCTCATGTTACACACATCTGACCTCTTCTTCTTCCTTGGGGACCTATAGTCCACCTCAATACTTCTCCAGTTCATTCTCTTTTTTAAATATCCTTCCTAATGATGTCCTGCAGACCATTAATTCAATCTCTTCCTCTGCTGTTACAGGTCCTGATGGTACTGAATCTAGGTTCATTAAATTAGCTTCTGATGTTCTGGCATTCCCTCTCTCAATTCTTTTTAATCTTTCACTTAATACCTGTTCAGTCCCAAAGGAGCGGAAATGCACTAAGATTTATCCGTTATTTAAGGGTGGAGATTCGTGTGAGCCGAACAATTATAGACCAAATTCAATAATTAATGTTGTTGTAAAAATATTTGAAAAGATAACATTTAAGCAGCTGTCTGACTATATTGAAGTCAATAACTCATTGTCTCCATATCAATCAGGGTTCAGAAAGCATTTTTCTACTACTACTGCTTTGGTGAAACTTACCAATGACATCTCCGGGTTTGATAGTAGCCAAGGTACAGGTGCTGTTTTTTTTATTTAACTAAGGCATTGATTTGGTAGATCATTATTTGCTGCTTGATAAACTGTATTCTTTTGGCTTTTCCAGGAACTCTTTACTCTGGTTTAATTCTTGTTTTCATAACCGGTCTCAAATTACTGTCTTTAACGATTGCCAGTCAAGACAACGAGGAGTTACAAGAGGTGTTCCACAAGGTTCTTCCTTGGGACCTCTTATTCTCAATTTTTATTAATGATATGCTTCAGTGCTACTCCTCGTGTTCTATTCATTTATACGCCGATGACACAGTCTTATTTTGCACAAAACCCAGCGTAACTGAAATTCAGAAGTGTCTTCAGCTCAATTTTAATAGTGTTTAAAACTGGCTAGCTTCCAATAAACTGCTTTTAAATAAATCAAAATCTTACTCAATGCTGTTTAAGAGACATACCTCCTCCGGTAATTTAAATCTTTATTTTCTGGATCTGTCTCCGGTGAATTGTACCGACTCAATTAAATAACTTGGTGTCTGGCTAGATCCAAACCTCTCATTCAAGACTCCTATTCAAACGGTCATAAATAAAATTAACTTTAGTCTGAAAACTTTGTATAGGTCTATTAGGTGCTTTGACTTTACAGTTCGAAAACATATTGTCACACAGCTTTTATTCCCACTGTTGGATTTCGCTGACATAATTTATCAGAACTCTACAGCTTCCTGTCTCCACTCTTGATATTAATTGCTTGTGCCGTTTTGTTTTACCTTGTCCATTTCTTACTCATCACTGTCATATGTATGATCGTTTGTCCCGGCTCTCTGCCGAGTCTAGGAGGAAATTTCATTGGTTGTTGCTTTTATTTAAAAGTACCTATTTTAATTTTCCACCATACCTAACCACTCTGTTAATACCATTCTGGTCTCACTTTGACATTCGTAGAACCTCCTTTTTTGTTCCCTAGTGTAGAACTGATGTGTAGGACTGAGTCAGGGAAGCTGACTTTTTCTGTTAAAGCTCCATCTGACTGGAATAATTTACCTGTTCTTATGAGATCCACCACGTCTTTTAGGCAGTTTAAAACTTTGATTCATTATTCATTACCCAACTGTAGATTTTTTGAATTATTATTGTATCATCACTTAGTCGTACTATACTTCTATTCTAAATCTTTGTGAGCTGTGTATTGTCTACCATTTAGTTGCGTCGTTTGTCATCATATATTTATGTAATGTTTTTAGTGCATTTGTAATTTATTCTATTTGATTAGCCAACTTCTTTGTTTTATTATTATAATTGTTTATGTATTAACTTTTTATTGTGGTAGTGTTCATTTGTCATTTTGTTTTGAATTCAGTTATTGCTGTTATCTTGTCTTTGTAATTGCATCTTTGTTTCCAGGAGGACCCACTTGTAAAGGAGATGATTCATCTCAAGTGGTTTTATCCTCCTTAAAAATACAAGTTAAATAAATGATTGTTTAATGAGGTATTTATTCGTTGCTGTCCAGAAGCAGTTGGTGTCGATGGAGATAGCTTTGTACTAACAAGGTAAACAATAAACAAAAACGCCTTAAAACTAGAAAATCTACTGAGCAGTTATTTGTAATTAAATCAGACCGGTTTACATTAAAAAGTAGCTTTTTGTTGAAATGGTAGCAAAAGAGACTTCCCGGTGACAACGGTACCAGTCAGTAAGCCCGAAGAAAGAAAAACTGCACTAACTTCAGAAGTTTTTGTGTTAAAGAGCTCCAAGCATTAAAGAATTATTCCCATCTTCAAACTTTGGGGTAATTATGAAAAGCAACCTTAAATGTTTTTGTACCTTCTATATGTTTTTGTTTAGATGTTGGTCTCATGAGGACAAAAACACACATTCTGCAGCTTGCCTTAGCATGAGAGGTTGTGTCCTGGTGCCACCTGGATGGAAACCAGAGCGTCCAACATTCCACCTTAACCCAACATTTATTATGTCAAGAAAACCACGCAACCAGTTTCATTTGAAGCTGAATGAACATATTTAATAAAGTGGACTAGTAGAATACTGCTAATGAAGGTTTGGAGTCCGACAAGTATTTAAAGAGCAAGTCACCCGCTACCAGAGTCTTACTCCACTCCCACTTCCTGTTGCCTAGAAAAATCTGAGAGGGCGGAGCCCCCAACAGATACACACACAGGCTACTACGACATTGTGACCTCATAATGTACCAGCTAACATCATTCAATTCAAAAATACTTTAATGCCAGAGGGAAATTAGTTTCAGTACACACAATTCTGAGAACAGACATACATAGACACATGACAAGAATTGGTGACTGTGGTCATTCACAACCCGAGTCGCGCTACCTTAATAGAGATCAGAGGGTTTACATGAGGATAGAGTCAGGGGGAGGGGAAAAAAGGCACTTCAGAGTTACCCTCCACCAGGAGGGCAGCTTTGCTCTGCAAAAAAACACCTCAGACAGAAATACACACAGACTTCAGACAACACACAACATAAGTGTCCACTAGGTGGGAGGTAGGGTCGGGACTCTCCTCACTTCAGAGCGTTTAGCCGCATGGGGCAGCGCTCATCACCTCCGTTTGGACAGGGGAGAGAGATAATGGGTTAGAGAGCACAGTGACTCCTAGATACGGTTCCATGGCCTTCACCGGTCACAGTCCAGCCCAGGCTGGGATAGGGAGTAAGAGTTTCCATAGCCACAGCAGCATTCCACATTTCTTCTGAGGGGAGTTTTCCCTTCAGCCTCACAGGCTCAAGGGCACCAGATTCAGATAACGATTGTTTTGGGGGCAGACGGAGATAATTTCCTCTCTGCCTTAGTGTTCTGTTGGTCTACAACCCTTCTAGATCCTATAATGGCGTAATTAATCTATCCCAATCCGTGATGATCCGTTCACTCGCTCCTTGATGGAATCCACCTTTTGTGCCAAAGTCTGAGGCCTAGTCCACACGTAGCCGGGGTTTTTTAAAAACGAATATCCGCCCCTCCAAAAACTTGCATCCACACCACCGCGTTTAAAAAAAAAACGCTGTCCACACGTACCCGGATAAATACGTTGTTAAGGACATGCCAGACCTGTAGGTGGCAGTACTTCCCCCGTTCTTAACCTCGTCCTTCGTCTGTGGTCTTCCGCAAGGAGAAATAATTCCGCTTGCAGAAACAAACAAGCAGAAAGCGCTTGGACAATTGATGGATCGGGTAGTGACAGAGCGCAGCTCTGAGGACTTCCATGCTGTCGGCTAGTGTAAACACAGGTCGCACACGTGATGTCAGCATTTTTTTGTCGCAGAAAGTGACGTTGCGGACCTTAAAACTCCGGTTTTGTCCGTCCACACGCAGATACCCAAAACGGAGAAAACGCAGATCTTCACTTTGGCCGGAGTTTTTAAAAAGATCCGTTTTCGTGTGAAAAAACTCCGTTTTTGTGTTGATGAAAGGCCAAAACGTAGAAAAATATCTACGTTTTTGCAGATCCCCGGCTACGTGTGGACAGGGCCTGAATCTCAGCCAAAGTTCCAAGCTTACGACTCATCTCGACAATTATATGAGTTTGTGCGTTCACAGCGCGGTGTAGTCCATCCCTGAGCTCCGGGATTGAGCCAATATTCCTCGAAAGCTCGTTAATTTTCCGGTAAGCCAGGTAACCGCTCAGGCCAAACAGCAGGAATCCCGACACCAACACCACGAATATCCAGACATCTTCAGAGTCCTCTACACAGTTGAGAGAGGCAGATCCGGTTCCACTGTTTCCAGGAGTCCATGACATACCCAGCTGGCTCTGTCTCAGAGGGGCATCCGGGAGCCCCTTCTCCCGTTCTCATCGCAGAAAAAATTTTGTCAATCGCGTTGAGAGACCAACTGACCAGATCCATTTTTAATGATTTCCAGTTTCCAGAAAAAATGCAGAAAGCGCCGTGCACACAAGACAGGACAAAGAGCATTGGGATAAGGAGGGAGGGAGAGGAGAAGAAAGCGTCTGTACTCTCCAAGAGCCGGAAGAACAGGCATATATCATATTAGCCAATAGTGATGGCAGATTTAAATTCAAACGCAGTGCAGAGTTTTTACCTGAAGAGGGCGCAACACTTAACATTTTATGGCAGAATATTTCAATTTGACCTAAGATGCACTAAAGTGCTGAATTATTGATGACACGTGTCTGCAGCACAGTTTATTAGCAAAAAAACGTTGATTTGGGGGTGACTTGCTCTTTAAATTTGTGATGAATCCTGAATAAAACGAAGCAAGCATCCTTTAAAGGTGACTGTGTGCTGAAAACGGTTCCCATTCTGGATGTCCACGAGAATTACTTTGAACTACATAAACGCACGTTCTCACGATAAAGAGGAGCAGCGGTACTGACCTGGTAGAACACCATCAGGATTATTTTATTATCAAAAGGCATTACATCATACTTCTTAAATCTCTTAGAGAACAATTGAAATAGTTACTATGGTGATCTGTGAAAAAACAAGATAATCCAAACAAAAACAAGGAGACATAAAAGAGTCTTTGAAGGAACAGAAGCAGAGGTCCATCTGACAACAGCTGCTCACTCAGACCTCTCTAACACACACCATGCCACAAATTCAGTGTACATTATTCTTCATACACACATTCGTACAGAACCGAACATCTACTGGGGCTTTTGGGTCCGATGTCTTGTTTTAAGGTGCTGGTGTTTTTTGGATCGACACATTATTTTGAATCTGTCAAACATTCACGTCATCTGAAAACCCTTCACTGTTTGGGTTTGTAGTGGCAGGCAGGGGAGGGGCTGGAAGGAGGGCGGGGCTGGGGCCGGGCCCCTCCAGGGCCGGGCCCCTAAAGTCTTTCACACAATTGCAGCAGTTGTCCCGTATGAGGCCCTGAACGGAGGTCTCGGAGTGGAGCGGTCCGTGCTGCTGCTGGACCAGAACCATCTCTGGTTGAGGAAAACGTTGAAATGAGCTAGCTAACCTAACTCGCAGCGGAACCTAGCAGCTTTCGTCGCCTAAACGCTTCTCCACATCCCGCTTCGGGTTCTCCTGGATGTCACATGGAATGCAAATAAAGATCTCTGTGGAGTCACATCCCTTGGTTCGGTCTGCACGAGCACGCTTTAGCTAACAGAGTCAAACGGGTGTGAGATGGAACCGGGTTTTAGGGCTAGAGCAGAACAAAAGGATGCAGCACCATGACTCGTAAGACCTGAACATCTCAAGTATCAGGTTTACAGCCAAGTCATCCTGAAACAAGTCGGAACAAACCCAAAGGGACACAGAACCCACGAAGAACCTGAGGTCAAATAAGAACAAACATTTTGAGTTTGTGGAATGATGCTCCTCCCCTCGCAGCGTTCCTCTTTCCCCAGTCAGAAAGGAAAAACTGAACCAGCACTCGTTCCCAAAACCAGAATCAGACCAAAACACGAGACTCAGAAAACCTTCAAGCCAAATAGTCCAATGGGTGGTCCGTCGTGTTGTCCAAGCATGCTCCACCAAACTTCACTCACGTCTCCTCAATCAAGAACAGAAAAAGAATTATGGAGAAACGAAGAAGTTTCTGATTTTTTCACGTCTGTACATCCGTCTGCTTCCTCACACCACATGGGGGAGCTTTGCACACACACACACACACGCACACACACACACACACACAGCTTAAAGAAGGTCCTATAAACTTCCAGACTGCGTCTGGACTCCAGGGCCCGGGAGAGGGGAGTGCTGGAACTGGCCGAGGCTCTGTCCCTGCTGTGGGCAGGGTGTGGGTCCGGGGGCACACTGGAGCCTGGGGCTGGGAGACACCTGCTGCTGACCCTCTCTGGAGGCTGTGGGGCTCAGGTCCATTTTATTCTGTCTTTGGGTCCTAGGCCCCGAGGTCAGAGCCCCCACCAAGCTGCTGCTGGTCTGCTGGTATAAGCCCACGGGCTGCCTGGGGTCCAAGCCGAATGTGGGGGGAGGACTGGGATAGGTGGGCAGGCGGCTGTACAGGCTCTGTCCTGAAGGAGGACTGTAGGAACTCAGGAATGGAGAGCTGGACGTCTGCTGGGCCAAAGAGGAACCGTGGCTCTGTGTTGGACTTTCTGTTGGCTGGACACAGAACACAGATCAAGCACAGGATGAGTTTTGCACAGAAACGGATCTTCACATGACACCCCCATAACATACATACAACGTGTGCGTTAGATTCTTGGAGGAAAGGAACGGTTTCTCTGATACACCAGGTGACATACCTGTTAGTGGCACAACTTAAAGGGGACACGTTATGCAAAACTCTCCGTCTGCGTGCTTTTGGCCGCCGTGCGGCTCTCTACTGCAGCTACAGCGGAGAAAAAGCTGTTCCGCAGCCGCTGGCCGTGCACGTTTCCACACAGGTGAGTCATTTTCATCACAGGGACACTTCAACTGAGACAGAATGTTAAAAAATCGCATCGCCTGATTTTAAAGAACTGATGTATGTAGAGGTGCAAAACGCTCCCACTAGCGAGCGCGTCAGCGACCTTCACCTTCTTACAGAAGCTCCTCCACTCGTTAGCTGTGTTAACGACACCTTCATCAGAGTCCAGCCTCCACCATGGCTGGACCAGAGAGCTGGTAAGGACAAGCTTGTACACGGCACTAGACCGGTATGGGCCAGTCCACATTGGGCCTGGTGAGAGGACAGCTGTTATTATTATAACCTGGGGCTCCAGGTGGAGTACAAACGATCTTGTGAATGGTGAAAAAACTACATGGGGACTGATCGGTGACCTGAGAGCTGGGGCCACAGCCACAAAGGTTACTATAGTAACACGGGGTTAGCACTTCAAGGTGTCCCCGGTCAAGTCAGCACATGTCAAAGCCAGAGTGGAGTTTGTCAGCGGTGATCTGCAAATGGAGCGGTGTAAACGCCACTCGCCGTGCTCTGAGGAGGAAGATCACCGTGAGGCGTGGGTGTGGAAACGGTAGGTTTGTCAGGAAAGGACGGGTGGGGACGTATACCGTGAGATATTGGGCAAAAACCCGGTTCCATCAATGACAGCATGGGAGACGAGCTGCGACTGGACCTTCCTACATGGCAACGAAGGAGTGGCTACATAAGAAGCTCTTCACGGGTCTGGAGTAGCCCAGCCATTTCATACAGGACAGCTGGAAGTCCACGTTTCCCAGCGACAGCCCTGAAACATCACAGCTCTAGAGAAGAGCTGCAGGAAAGAATGGGCCAAAATACCAGAGGCAGCGTATGCAAGCCTGGTGAAGACCTACAGGAAGTGTTTGGTCCTGTTGTTGCCAACCAAGGTTACGTACTAGTACTGAGGTAGGGCTGGGTCATGTGGCGGTATAATGAGGAGCTCGCCTCCATACTGATGGAGGACAACATTCGCCCAACGACAAGCGTTGTCCGAGAGATGGAGCTGGGGCAGCAGAACTGCTCCACGACCACTTTAACCAACACGATCCTTCTAGATCTGCTCGTTGCAATACTTTTAATTGGTACTTCGTAAACTGCTAACTGAATACTAAGTACTTCTAGTACTTGTGTGTGTTGCATGTCAGCTAGTCGCCCAACTCCACGTGACTAGCTGTGACGCGGACTCGGCTGGTGATCAGCGGGCGTAGACACGGACAACCCCCCAGAGAAGAGTCGGTGCGTCTCCACCCTCACCCCCCATCTCCAGGTGAACTCATCTGATCCACCAGACAGGTGTTTTCTGCACCACCACACACACACTTCCTGGGAATCACACACATCCCGTCTCTCAGAGCAGAAATGTCCCTGTGATGAAAATGACCTCTCAGATGTTAGGTGAGACAACTCGCAGCGTCAGCGGCTGCCAGGTGCTTTCCTGTTGCACCCTACGCGAGGATAAAACCACCCACACGTTTCCCGTCAGTGCTCGGTTTACAAGCCCTTCCAAAAAGCCCCGAGTGTGATGTCACAACGTGGGAAGTTAGTGTTAAAAACATCAACGTTCCTCTGGCACCGGCGAGTCACATGTTCCCTTTAAAGTGATGGAACAAACGACTGCTCCTCCCTTAAACCTTCAGCTGGGTCAAACTCAGACCGGGGTGGGTACCGAGCACTGAAACAGGACAGCACCATCACCACTGCTAGTCCCCGTTACCTGCAGAGTGTAGACGGGAGGGCTGCCTGTGGACGAGCTCACGGACTCTACTGGTAGAACCTGGTGGTCTGTATCTGAAAACGTCCAGAGTCCAGTTAGAAGAGCACGTTTCTGGATCGAGTCTCTGTAGCTGCTGCTTCCTCCTCACTCACCACTGCTCTTGTAAACCTGCTCCATCTTTATGCTCCTCAGGACTCGCTCCAGAACCCCCCGGCCCTCTCGCAGACGCTCTACCGTGGTTGGGACCATCCTGGGAAGGGAAGAAATGTCCAGTTAGTGGAGACGATGAAAACATTAGTGAATACTTTGAAGGGGTGAAACTGAACTTAGACCTCTCACCACTGGTTGCTGGTTTTCACGAACACCTTGTGATTGTCTGGAGGCCTGACGTCCTCCCTTTGTGGGACACAGGCTGTGCGAGCTGAGGAAGAGGAGTGGTGGGGTGAGGCTGGGTTCTGCACCTGCTGCAGGGACTGGGAACAATGGGAGTCTGTGCTGTGGTACGATCCAGGTCTGGAACGGCTGCTGCTGCTTTGTTGAGCGTCTCCAACGCTGCCTTGCTTCCTCTTACGGTACTCTAGCAGGGACACCTGAGGACCAGGAGGACGACATTAGGATGGAAATAAAACAGACGGGCTCCCTCACATCTGGGGTCAGGATGGCTGCTCGGTCGCATCACTGAGCAGAACCAGACAGGAGATGAAGACAATAATCACAACAAGAGCGGTATGCCACCCAAAAACAACAAATAAACACAAATAAACAAAAGTATGATGTTGTTATGAGGAGTGTCTCTGAGATCAGACCCACTAGAATCCACCAATCCAAGCTCTGGCTTTCAGGTTTGTGTCTCAGGTCTTCTGCCAGGTGTTTCCATGGTTACCTCTACTGATAATAACTGTGTGACCCAAAGCATCTACATGTCCCGAGTTGGTCCTTCTGGACCTCTGTATGCACCCTGACCTCCTGTCAATCATCTTGTGGTCCAGACGCGGACTAAAGGAGCTCCTCCTCCTGCCTCTGGAGGACAGTCCACAAGTTCTCAGTAGGATTAAGGTCTGGGGAGTTTCCTGGACCCAACATGTTTGTGTTCTAGTCCTGATCCACTTAGTTCTGACTTTATCCTTCTGGCCCAGTGCTCCATCATGCTAGAGACAAAGGTTTTGTCACCGAACTGTGTTTGGATCATGGGAGGAGTTCCACTGGGAGGATGTTTAGGTACCGATCATTATTCATGGCTGTTCTGAGGCTGAACTGAGGAAGTCCACTCCCTTGGCTGAGCGCACGTCCCTGACAGTGTATGTACGCCGCTGCCACTCTGTTGTCTGCATGAATGAGAACATGCCCATGCCCCTACTGCCCGAGACAGCGTGTCCTACCCCAACCCGACGGGGATGGGCGTGAGATGCAGGGCCCTCTGACAGGATGTGTTTGAGAACGGCTCACACTGAGATGGGAACGGAGATCATGTGCCTCTAAGGGAAGGCTGTGTGTGTGCAGACGGTGAACCACCTCTGAAGGTGTCACATGCAGCAACCGCAGCGGTACCACCACACGAGCTGCTGACATGAATCTATCAAAGAACTTGTGTGGTCCACTGACTTTGTCTCTATTTGAATCTGGTTCTTTCTGCTTGAAGCCAGTCAGGCTCCTCATCCTCAGCCACACACCCGACGTGCTTGGCTTGTTTCTTATCGAGTCCCTGTTGTACTCTCCTCAGCAGCTGGGTCTCTGGCCTGAAAGCCTTATCCCTTCATGTCACTGGTGGTGATCGAGGGTTAGGGCCGTCCACACAGGAGTCGGTCACAGCTAAAACACCGATAATGGATCAGAACCAAGCATTAGAGAGTTCTGAAGAGGCGTTTATGAGTCCTGATCTAGATCCTGAACATCTCTGAGAGAAGCTGACCTATCTGAAGGAGAAGCGCTCTTTACCTGGGGCTGCTGGAGCAGTTTGCTAACGAAGAGTGGGAAACACCTGTGAACAGGTGACAAGTCCCTCCCAGTGACAGAAGTATCTCTTAGTTAACTCACAATAACCGGTCATTTAGGGGACCCCCCCCCCCCCCCCCTGAGCTTCATTAGTTTGGGGAGAGGTCAACGTGCATATGTCCTCCAGCAGACACAACGCTGTTCGACTGAAGCATGAATGTTAAGGTTTTAGCAGAAAGAAAGCTGCTACCCCTAAAACCCGCTAACAGATGGTTAGCTTTGCTGCTAGCTCCCTCTGCAGCTTCTGGAACATTCGTGGTACCGGAGGCGTTTCAGGGTTCAATCGGGCTGGAAGGCATTGATGCAGCTAAGCACGCTGGTGTTTAAAAGTTTAGCTCTCAGCTCAAAGCTAGCATTACCACCCTACCATCAACTTAGCTAACCAAAGACTAGCCAACCGAAGCAGCAGGCGGATGAACGTCCTAACCGTTTCTGATGTGTAATGTACAAAAACTTCTTGGGTCACTGGAAAATAGCAGTGAAATAAACTGTTATAGGCTAGCATTGCTACATTCCAGGGAGTAGCCTGATCCGGGCCATTTCCTAGCCAAAGCAGCTGTTTTCCTGGTCAGCGCGGTCTTATATTTGGTTAGTGTTATAATGTGTGATATATGGTCTTATAAACATAAGTGGAGATGCGTAACACCCCACTAAAGAGTTATTAGAGCAGATGTGGCCAGCAGAACACCAACCTGCTGGACCACGCATGCTACCTCTCATCATTCTGTCTTGTTGCTGCGGTGGTTTGGCCTCCTGGCTGCTAGTGGCTGCTCCCTCTGAAACATCTACAGCTCTGTTCTGGTCTTGTTCTGCTCATGGGGGTCTGCCAGGAACCTCCGGGGGGGGGGGGGGGGGGCATATGAATCATTCTGGTAAAGCTCACCCCGAGTTTGGGTTTTTGCAGTCTTTTAAAAGCTAAGCTTTGGTACATCCCCTAACCCATAATCCTGATGTTCTTGACATCTCTGAAAACTGAAAGAAAAGTAATTCCAGCTCTGAAACGTTACCAAACTACGATGTATTTGGTCAGGAAGCCGCCACCAGAGGGAATCATTAGTGTTAAAGCCTGGACTGGTGGAGGCGGCCTGTAAACAGGGTATCTGCAGGTTTAAAGGAGCCAAATTTAAGACTTTTAAATACCTTTTTTAAGGTCACTTTGACCAAATTTATGCTATTTTTTTTAATTTATTTTAAGCTATAATTTCCAGCTATTGCCTGGAACCGGTGCTAACCATGTCGCGGATGTGGGATTAGCCATCCAGTTACCATTAAACTTGCCTTTCCCCATGCAGAAGCTCCCACTAGCTTAACCAGCTATATGTGCTCATCTAAAAACAGGCCCCCTTGCACAACCAAATGAACGTGTACGGTTCCGCTTACATCGTACACAAAAAATGCTGAACACTAACTAGAAATTCATGAAAATTTTATAGAAATAAAAGAATCTTGTTTATTGGGTCTTTGGTAATTTAAGACCTTAGGAAACTGGATTTAAGGATTTTTATGGCCTTAAATTTGGAAAAGCATATTTAAGACTTTTTAAGGACCCGCGGATACCCTGTGTAAAGGGCCTCTCCACCAGGGTCCTGGTTCTGTACCAACTCTGCAGTGGTTCGGGTTCGGGTTAGGCCTACTGGGCCTGGCCAGAAGCACCACCTGAGAAGACTGCTACTGGCTGGCTAGAGGGCGGAGATGCTACCGTCCTTCACTGCTGTGTTGTTTCTCGGGTACAGCTCACATGGCTCAACTCTTCAGCCCTGATATGAGCCACTGTAATGGAAAAGCACCCAAGCGAGCGATGGATGGAGCGCCAACACTTAAATGAGTTTGGACACAAGTGGTTCAGAAGTCAGTGTCTGGAGAAAAACAAAGCCATCAGAGATGGGTGGGTGCTGGATGCAGATGCAAAACAACAAAAACAAAACTAAAAAACAATCACATGCACGCTTCTCAAGACATAGTTGTAGGGATATTCACCATTTTCTGAACTGGCTTGTTTTCACCTCTTAGAGCTATAGCTTCGTATTCTGTCTTTCCTGTCAGCAGACTAACGGCTGGCTGGGTGGCCCTCTGCCTTGGAAAAAAATGAAAGAGAGACTTGGCAAAAAGCGTCATAGGGTACTCGATGGGTGGGGGGAGGGGGCTGCTGAGAAAGTGGAGTAGGGAGAAGCGTCACAGCTACAACGGTGATTAACTTCAGAGACAAACGTGAAGTACGTTCCTTCTGGAACAGTGGGGGGGGGGGGGGGGGGGGGTCTCAGCGCTCCGGTTCACTGGTTTCAGTTAAAGGAAACAACTAAAACAATGACACATCCAGTCTGGTGCTACTTCAGCTGATTAACATGCACAACTTGCCTTCTTCTTCTGTGGGGGGTTGCTGGTGTATGGTGGTGTGGTGCCGCCGGAGTAATAAGGGTCCCCATAAGGGGACATGGAGCCGGGCCCCTGGACACTTAGAGAACCGTGTAATGAGTCTGAAGGAGAGCACCCTCCATCAACCTGTGGGGGGTGCTGATCACTGCTGAGAGGATTCCTCACGTTGGCATTGAGGGGGGAGCAAGTATAGATGAGGTTGAACTCTGTCCTGAAGGCCTGCTCCCCCTTGTGAGAGTCTGAGGAAGGACAGGATGCCAGGGCACCAACAGGCAACTGGCTCTGGGCATCATGACCTGAAGTGACCCCATGGATGCAAAACTCATCCGAGGTCATGGCCACCGGGCTCTCCAGGCCCAGGTAGGGAGGCCTAGAAGCGTCGAAGTCTGCCTGAAGGGACGGCTGATGGATGAGAGGAGAGAAGATGCTCATGAGAACTCAAACCAACAGTCAGCCTAGCAGGTAAGGTACAAGGATGAAGACAAACCTCCGGAGAAACGGACTCTGCTTGGTGAACAGGAGACGCCTCGGGGGAGGAGATGTTCTACAAACAGAAACAAAACCGTAAGATCGTTGGGAGGATGTGCTGAAGTCAGCTACACAAATCCAATCACCACGATGGCTTCCACACCATCAGAGACCTAAAGCAGGCGCCTGAAGGGACTTCTGATGGAAGGGTCTACCTGCAGCGCTCATCAAACCACAAAAACTTAACAACAAGTCCATGTGTTTATGATTTTAACACCTTTTTGATGTACATTTACATTAAAAATCTGTCTGTTCCTGCTTCACTACATGTAACAACCCTAGCCCACGAGAGCTGTCCAGCCAAAGGACACGAGGAGACACCCACCACCAAACGCTCAGCCCATTACATTTGGACTTAGTTGACCCTTGTTGTTCATCTTTAGTTACCGGTCCCGTCCACTTCCACTTCAAATGAAGGCTTTCTGATTCTTGGACTGTTAAAGGGGAACTGCAGTTCTGCTTGCTCTCAGCACTTCTTGGGTCCTCAGTCGCTCACTGGTGCAGAAACCAACGCTGTGCGTCTGTGTTTCAGCACCTTCATCTAACCGCTCTCATTCAACAGCAGCTCACCCTAACTCAAACAGACCAGCTGGTCAGGACCGTAAACACGCAGGAATCAGAGCTTTTGGGACCAGAAAACCGCTCGTTTGCCTCCTACTGTGGTTGGAGGTTGTTTTCATCAGATAAAAGGGTTTGTTTGTTTGTTTGTTTGTGTCTTCTGAGGCTCCGCCACGACAAACACGTTACAACAAATGCTAACCAGGCACAGCCGGTCTGTTCTGAGGTGTGGACATGGACGGCTGTGTGAGGGAAGCGCTGCAAACAGGGTTTCCTGCTCTAAAGGAGCGTACATTTATATTCCACGTACTAAAGGCACAACAGACAGAATAACAACAACGAAATAAAAAACATAAAACCAACACGCAACACAACCTGTCAGAAAAGGATTAGTGCACCCAAAGGACAACATGTCAACAGATAAGTGTGAAATCATACAGAAACCCCACGTGAACTCTGCAATAACACCTGCATAGGAGACAACAGAGCGTCAAAGGCAGTGTGACAGAAACAAGTCGGGGACACACAAGAGCAGCAAGACGAGCATCAGCAAGTACAGTAAAGGATCCAGGCGTAACAGAGAGAAGCTCGCTACACACCGGGACGGTACACGGGTCATAACCACAGAGCAAGGAAGCGACGGAGCCGTGGGCGACACCGGCCTCTGCTGCCACAGATAAAAGGAAGTGACGCCACCATCAGCGGCCATCTGCGCTGACGGCTAGAGCTACTAGCTTACGTGGTGATGGATCATGAGACTCCACACAGAATGAATGTACTAAAGTGCATAAAGTTAGATTAGAACCTTTAGAACCCACTGACAGCACAAGCTAAAAGTGTGGTGATGAAGCTGCGTAGGCGCTGCGTGGGAGGACTCAAACGGTGAGGACGGGTATCAGCTGGTTCCGGTGTCTTTACCTCGAACTGAAGTGGTGTGTTGCAGCGGCTGGTGCACAGCGAGGGCTTTGGGGAATCAGCCAAGCCATTCAGCAGCAAGAATCCACAAGCGTTGTGCACCAGCTGGTCCAGGGAGTGGTCAGGGAGCGGTGGAGAGACTGGTGAAAGGGGGTGGAGCAAGTGGTCGGGGGGCACTGGTCTGATCTCGGTAATACACTTGTAGTGCCTCTTCTTAAACGGCGCACTGACTTCTGAGGGCAAGAAGAAGAAACGCAGATGAACACGACACCTCTGATCAACACACTGTGAAACATAGAGCCTTGATCTCGGCGGCGGCCACAAGAGACCCATTTATCTGGTCTACGACTTCAGAACGGGTCCTTCCAGCAGAAGAGCTGATCACATACCACTGCAGAGGGGGTTGGGTGTAGACCTGCTGCTGGTGCTCTGCTGAGAAGAGGTTGACTCTGTGCCGTCCTCTACGCTGGTCGAGTAGGACTCATCCTCCATCTGCTTGATCCACCTCTGCAGGAAGTCAAATGAAAGAAAGGTTTAGAAGCCCTAACCCCACCACATGGATTTAAACATCACAGAACCTTTTTGAGCCTAATCTGGTTACCGTAAATCCTCTAATATTAGCCTGTATTCAATTAATGGCCGGGTATCATATTTTGGCCGGCGTCGGAGTCGGCGGAGGTGAATAATGGCCGTTTTTTTTATTGTGGCCGGGTGGAATGTGATAACAAGCAAGTACCACAAGGGAGGGGGTTGTGTCATCACTTTTGATTTGCCAGTGATAGACCGCGAGGGTAACTTTAACCGTGTGGAGACGAAGAGGGAGGCGAAAATTTGATATCAAGTTCAAAGAGAACGTGCTGATTATGCTGCAGAACACTCTGGGGAGCAGTAGCCGGGGTTGTATGAACTAGTCACTAGTCGACTTCACCGCTCTGTAGTGACTTGTTATGCCTGTCATCGACTAGTCGCTGTCATGTGATAATGACCGGCAAGATGCAGTCCTCAGAAAAGACAGCAGCCTGCTGTCAGCAGGTGACAAGCTCCTGCGCGTCGGGAGGCAACGCGCTGTGCCAGAGTGTCGGTACTGACACCCGCCGTAAAACGGACATTTAACCAAATTGTGACCTTAACCCTCTTGCAGTTTAACCTTCCCCTCACCCCCATCCTAACCTTAACCAGCTTGCGCATGCAAAGCTCTGATTGTTGACGCGCTCCTCCAGACATCTGCGTCCTGAGCACGGCCACAGTAACATTATCAAATCAGGCGTCGCCACCTCAAAAACTAATTTAACACGCAATCGTTCATGTCGGCTCATTTCCTTTGATGTTTTCTGTCTTTTATTCTTTTATTTGTGCCTGATGCGTTTCGCTGCTGTGGAGCGGGGCGCATCACCTGTTTTGTTCTCCGGTGACGCACCGATCACTGATGTGGCCGGCGAGCACTCCGCTGTTTTAGCGGTCGGTAGATCTTTTAGAGCTGCAGTTCAAAGGTAACTCATGAGGTGAATATATATGAACCCAGGTAGCAGTTTCTCTTTAGGATTGAGAGGAGATGCAGGAAGATAATAAACAGGCAGGACAGAAAAATAGTCACATAAAAACAAGTTAGTTTTTGTACCTGGTGGTTGCAACAAACAGACACCATTGAAGGTAATCAGAAGTGAGGAACAGAAAATGAAATAATTATTTTAATGTTTAGAGCAGCAGGAACTCCGAGAGGCTGCAGGCGCATCAGTGAGTTTGCGGCCGCTGTGCAGGGGGAGGGGGGAGAGGGCTGAAGCAGGGGGAGGGGGGAGAGGGCTGAAGCAGGGGGAGGGGGGAGAGGGCTGAAGCAGGGGGAGGGGGGAGAGGGCTGAAGCAGAAACTACCGTTGTTAAAAGAAATGTGTTTAACTTTGAAAATGTGGGCGTAATTTTAATTGTCAATAACTCCAGCGAACCATTAGTTCATTTTGCTCAAATAGAAATAGAGGCCTGCCTCTAATACTGGTCCTCCTTCCAATAGAGGCCTGGAGCTTGATGAGCTTGAGTCAAATACAGGCCCGGGCCTGTATTAGAGGATTTACGGTATACACTCACTGGCCACTTTATTGGGCACACCTTGCTAGTACCGGGTTGGACCCCTTTTGCCTTCAGAACTGCTTTAACCCTTCGTGGCATAGATTGAACAAGGTACTGCAAACACTCCTCAGAGATCTTGGTTCATAGTGACATGATGACATCACACAGTTGCTGCAGATGTGTTGGCTGCACATCCATGATGTTAATCTCCCGTTCCACCACGTCCCAAAGGTGCTCTAATGGATGGACATCTGGTGAGTGTGGAGGCCATTTGAGTTCAGTGAACTCATTGTTGTGTTCAAGAAACTAGTCTGAGATGATTCCAGCTTTATGACATGGAGCGTTATCCTGCTGGAAGTAGCCTTCAGAAGATGGGTACACTGTGGTCATACAGGGATGGACATGGTCAGCAACAACACTCAGGTAGGCTGTGGCGTTGCAGCGATGATCAGTTAGTACTAAGGGGACCAAAGTGTGCCAAGAAAATGTCTCCCACACCATTACACCACCACCAGCAGCAGCCTGAAGCGTTGACACAAGGCCGGATGGATCCATGCCTTCATGTTGTTGATGTTAAATTCTGACCCTACCAACTGAATGTTGCAGCAGAAATCGAGACTCAGACCAGGCAACATTTTCCCAATTCTGGTGAGCCAGAGAATTGTAGCCTCCGTTTCCTGTTATAGCTGACAGGAGTAGCACTCGGTGTGGTCTTCTGCTGCTGTAGCCCACCTGCCTCAAGGTGCCGCGTGTTCAGAGATGCTCTTCTGCACACCTTGGTTGTATCGAGTGGTTATTCCAGTTACTGTTGCCTTCTATCAGCTCCAACCAGTCTGGCCCTTCTCCTCTGACCTCTGGCATCAACAGGGCACTTTCACCCACAGAGCTGCTTGTCTTCCCTTTTCCGGACCATTCTCTGTAGACCCTAGAGATGACGATCCCCGAAGATCAGCAGTTTCTGGAATACTCGGACCAGCCCGTCTGGCACCACCATCCACGCCACGTTCAAAGTCACTTAATCACCTTTCTTCCCCGTTCTGAAGCTCGGTTTGAACAGCAGCAGAACCTCTTCACCATGTCTACACGCCTACATGCGCTGAGCTGCCACCATGTGATTGGCTCATCCGTTATTTGTGCTAACGAGCATTTGGACAGGTGTGCCAAATAAAGTGGCCAGTGAGTGTGAGTCAACATACGTAATCTTTTGTGACTAAACATTGGCTGATTTAGAAGAATACGTCTTTTAACTGCAGCCGTGAAAATAAAAACCTTCTACATTCAGCTGAAGCGTGTGTGTGAAGGAAGCATGTTGTGTGTGTGGAGCGTGGAGCCACCAGGGTCACTAAAGGCAGCACACACTGCCTTCCAGCCGGGCATCAGAATAAACTCATCTCCACAGGAAGACAATCCCGAGATGACTAGATGGGATTTTTAGGCCCAATCCCAATCCTCGCACTGTGGCCCTCAGCGAGGAGCACGTGGAGGAAGTGCACAGTAAGGCTTTGAGTGCATGGTACACGTGTGTGCACATTTTTGGGACAGTGAGCATTGCATCATCCACTGCGACTCCCACTGGGATGCCGGACGGTGGACTGAACCCTAAAATAAATGTTTAGATCCTAGTCACTTCATTGGCTCCCGATTCGTTTCCTAACTAGTTTTAAATCATTTTATTGTTTTCAAGTCTTTTAATGACAGCACTCCTTTGCTTTGAGCTCTTGCAGCCTCATGTCCCATCTCGCTCTCAGACCTGAAGATCAGCTGCTGTTGGTCGTTCCAAGGTCAACGCTGAAATCCAGAGGAGATGGTGCTTTTTCAGGACTCGCCTCAAGACCCTGAACGACCTCGGGCCGGCTCCATCGCTTGCGGTGTTTAAGACTCGTTTAAAAACACACTTTTAGTCGCCAGGGTTCAGTCAGGAGCGAGCAGGGACTCTTGTTTTTCTTTTAGCCTGTATTTGTTTTTACTGCTGTTGTTTATTTAGTGTTCAGCACTTTGTGTTGTTTTAGAGTGCTTTATAAATAAACTGCTTGCTAGTAAACACACAGTATGAATAGGAACACAAGCAGGTCTATAGTAAAGATGAGTCCTAGCAGAACCAAGTCTGATGACCCCTCCAGTGATGCTGATGATGGGAGGAGGAGAGTCCCAGATGGCTTTTCTGCAGTGGAACACGGGTCAGTCAGGTGTTTATTCATCTGCTGTTATTTCCATTCAGAGGGGAACCAAACCCATCATGAAGTACAGCCAGTTAGAGGTTTTAAACACAAGATGGTAAATAGTATTGCTACAGTGCCCTCTCGAGCCCTAGGAGCCTCCAGCACCAGTCCACCTACGGACGCCTCGCCCACTCACACCGACCACAGACTCAACCAACATTTAAATATAACACAAACCGAAGATTTCTAAAAGTTAAATGAGGGTTTAGTTTATTTATGACACATTTATCTCAGGTTTGAATTATTGACGATGCATTAAAAATACGTAATGCTTCATTTGTTACAGCACCGTGAAACCCCCCCCCCCCCACACACACACACACAGCCAGCAGCCCCGACTCAGTCCGGCTGGTACTGACGAACCTTTTTGTAGCAGCCATAGGTGCCGTCCATTTGGAGCGGGCGTGGCCGGCGCCTCTCGGGGTTGAAGGGGGAGCCGAAGCGGATGTAGTGTCTGGGTGTGGTGCAGATCAGTGAAGAGTGGGCGTGGCCTGGAAGCATGTTGAGGGTGGTAGCCAGCACAGTGGGGTCAGTAGTTATGCGTAGTGGACGCTCCACAGGAACCTCAGGGTGGACCTTCTCCCCCCCGGGGACTTTGTCGTTCAACCACTCAGTCACCAGGTACTGGTGATTATAAAACACACACACACACACACACACACACACGCACACACACACTCAGATCAGGGACAAATAAAACACCAGGAACCGGATCGATCGAGTGATGATTGTTGGACAGATGTGAACCTTCTTGGTCTTGGGGTAGCGCACGATGCCTCTGTGGATACTAGTTGGACCCTGGTTGTCTCCATCCAGACACTGAGCTGCCCCTCCCGTGCCAGGCTCTCCATGACGGTGTTCAGCTCCATAAGGACCCTGAAAGCCCTCGTCGTTTTGAGCAGACCCCTGATCTGCGGGTGCCTGTGCTGACACCACTGCAGCAGCTGCTGACGCCTGGTGGGCGAGAGCCTGCCGCTGCCGCCGGGCACGCTGGGAGGAGCTTGATCGGTAGCGAGATATCCGACTTTTGGACCGGGGCTTGGCAGGTCTCATGGGTTTAGGAGGAGCAGCTGTGGTGGTGGGCAGAGCGGGTGAGGATGTTTTTTCCAGGAGTGGAGCCTCCTAAAACAGAAGGCATAAAGAATAAGGAAACAGCTGCTGCACAGACCAGCAGCAACAGAACCCACCACTGACCGTCACGGTCCGCCGTGTGCTGACCCCCACTCCTCCACTCTGGGTCATGCAGAGGCTGTCTGCAGCGTTTCCATCCTCAGCCTCGACATCTTCACTCTTCAGCAGATGTGCTTCAGCCCTGCTCCGCCTCTCCAGGGCGTTCAGAGTCTAAAGCAGTGAGCAGAAACACGTGGCTGTTCCCTCTCCTAAACACAAACGTCTGTACATTTGCACCTTATTCAGGTGTACTCTCAGTGTCAGCTTCTACCTTTTACCTGCACCTTCCAGTGGTGGCGTCACACACACACACACACACACACCTGGTAAAGTCCGTTATTTCAGCTAATGTTGTTGGGTACCCCGGGACACACGTAAAGCTTCTGCGTCGGCTCCAGAGAAGCGCACAGACGGAGGCGTTTTGCTGTCTGACCTCCCCGTCTCCTGAGGAGCGCTGCAAAGCAGTTCCCCTCCAGGACAACAGAGGGCGCAGCGCTGTCACGTATCGTGTTTATATCGTGCTTTTTCTGTTTCAGACACATTTTAACGTGGGTAAAATTGGTCTCTCGCTCTCCTCCACCTCTTCAAGCGCTCGCCACCTCTAATCACACGTTTCCCGTCATTCCCTGCGCATCTTTTTAGTCCTCCAGTTGCGTGTGAATTAAACGCTCACGTTTCTAGAGTTTTCTGCTGCTCCGTGTCTGCCACTAGAAGTCTTTGGCTCTCTCTTTTTTTGTTTTTGAGGGCGCAATGGCGGCGCTGTAGACGACAGCCGCGTCCTGACCAATCACAAGCTTGCGTTCTCTGTCTCGTTGGACGCGCGTTGAGAAAAGCGGGGTCCGTGTGAGCCCTCTCAAGGTCGGATAACGGCGCAGCGTGTCTCCGGACCGACGCAGAAGCAGATAACAGACACTTACTCTTTTACTGGAGAGGGCCTCCCTTTCCTCCTCTTCCACCTTCAGCCCATCCTGCACTCTCTCCTAGTTGGAAACACAGTCGTCCACTTTTTAAAAACCTAAACTCACACCTGATAACAACTTACTTCCGTCTGTGATGCAGGAGTTGAATCTGAGACCATCAGAGCAAGTGTAAACACACCTCTGAATCACTGGTTCCCTGCAGATCTTCACAGACACCGGTAGAGACCAGAGAGCTCTCCAGCTCTTTCCTCTGAGCCTTTCTCCGTCGGGTCTCAGCACCAACAGGGGGGGAGGGCAGGATCTGAGTGGGGGGGCTCAGGTTGTGCTTTTGCACGGGGCAGTTCTGGTTGCCCTTATGGCAAGCACAGTCCACCTTGTATTTACTGGAGAGGAGAGAAGGATTCACACGGTCAAGAGCTTCAAGCAGCTGAACTCCTCCTGTGAGCAGCAGACATGAGAAGGACTAACCAGTTGTTGAACTCGTAGTCAAATCCAATAGTGACCTCCGAGTCCTTTGTAATGTGGCCGATAGCGTAGATACACAAATGGATCATGCCCTCAGCCATCATGTGTCGCACCTGGAGATGAGAGCGGAGGTTTCTGGTGATTATTGTCCTGAACCAGTGGCGTAACCCTGGTAACCAGGCCCATTTGTTTCAGGCTCCTCTGCTGATAATTTCTTAACCCTTCAGAAGCCAGACTGGAATAAATGCACCAAAAGGTAGAAAGAAAATAAAACACTGGCGGCAAATTAAACGTCAACATATGTGATGGATCTGATGTTTGAAGTGGGCGGTGACAGCAGTCGCAGGCTGGGCTTCGGGGACCGTGTTGGTAGGAACGTGGCCAACATCACACGGGACACCAATATGCAGCTGACCAGAAACAGCACTTAGCCGTCGTGTGGAGCGGGTAGGAGCCCCAGGGGTGCTCTCAACCTGCTTAGCAGCTGTTAGCCATTTTACTAGTTTACAGGCTAGCAGTTAGCTTATTCAGCCCACCTACTCATCACTGGTGTGATGGCAGAGCCTGGAAGTAAAGCTCAGAGAAATATGTCTTTGGAGGTGAAGCAAAGAGCTAAAACCAGAATGCTGAAGGGCGACATGAGATCATAGGCTGATGGTGGCCTGCCTTTGTTGCTACTGGACATTTAGGTAAGAACATTTTTGTTCAACTTCACGGATCTTTTTACTTTGTGCCTTGTTTATTATCAGTTTGCTTGTGTTAGCGTTAGCTCATTGCTCCCAGCTTTAGTCCGTGAGGCAGACACCTTGTCTACTTTTAAGAATAGGCTTAAAACATTTTTATTTGATAGGGCCTATGGTTAAAATCTGATGTTAGCCTAAATCTGGACAAGTGGGGGAGTAGAGGGAGGTGGAGTGTACAGTCGGTAAAGACGGCTCTCCCTTGCCCTGCCTCCAACATGCCTACATCTAAATAGGATAGATTATCCAGAGTTATCTCTGTAGTTATGCTGCTATAGGCTTAGACTGCTGGAGGACACACTGACCACTTTTCACACTCTACTGCTTTCTTCTACTATCTGCTCTTTAACTATTATTTCCTGCTATTTCAGCTGTTAACTTTATTTTCTCTGTAAGTGTTTTTCTCCCCAGAAGAAGCTACAACGATGTTCTGCTGAGCTGTGGTGGCCTCATGGAGGGGGCCATCGTCTAGCACACTGCTGCTAACCACTTAAACATTCTCCCTCTCCTGATAATAACTTGCTACTACAGCGGGATCGCACTCCTGAGCCTCCCTGGTAAGGTCTATTCAGCAGATCTGGAGAAGAGGGGCTGATGGATTGTCAAACCTCAGATTCAGGAGGAGCAATGTGGTTTTGGTCCTGGCCGTGGAACACTGGACCAGCTCCTTACCCGTAGAGGGTTCTGGATGGTGCGTGGGAATGTGTTTAGAGGATCAGGAGAAGGCCTTTCACCTCGTCCCTTGGGAGAACCTGTGGGGAGAACTACGGGAGTATGGAGTACCAGGTCCTCTCATAAGGGCTGTGAGGCCCTTTTTATGACCGGTGTCAGAGCTTGGTCCGCATTGCGGCTGACGTGTTTTCTCTGCAGGGTGGCTGGGCTCTCCCTTAGAGATAGGGTGAGAAGCTCAGTCATTCAGGAGGGACTCGGAGTAGATCCGCTGCTCCTCCACATCAAGAGGAGCCAGTTGAGGTGGCTCAGGCATCTGGTCAGGATGCCTCCTGGACGCCTCCCAGGTGAGGTTTTCCAGCCACGTCCAACCGGGAGGAGACCTAAAGGTAGACCCAGGACACGATGGAGGGACAATGTCTCTCACCTGGCCAGGGAACGCCTTGGGATTCCCCCGGAGGAGCTGTGGCTGGGGAGAGGGACGTCTGGGCGTCCCTGCTAACCCTGGCTGCATCAGCGGGGAGGAACAGTTTACTCGCAACAATCACAACACTCTAGTGCACATCGGGAGAGTCTCAGCAGCGAAGCGGCTTCTCTGCCGTGCTCCTCGTTCAACTCGCAAGATCACACGGTCCGCCAAGACCTCAACGATTACAGTTTGTTTATGCAATCTGCCATCACACCAACAAGAAGGAACTCACGTTGCTGTTGCTGCTGTTCCTCTCCACTGCCAGGGTTAAAGACATGAAAACACACCACTGGAACGATGCTGGGAGTAAACGAGCCGCTGAGTCACACGTAAGCTACAAATATATGAAACTGCACCGCTGCAGCACTTTTATTTTGAAAACTACCGGGGATTTTACACTGAAACCCTGTGCGACTCCCTGTCTCAACTCCATGTTACCTGTGGAAATTGACGCATCCCAGAAGCGGCTCGCAGAAAAATCCGAACCCAATCCCATCCGGTGCTTCTGGGACGCGTCTGAACATCGCCGCGTTGCGGCTGGTTTGTGACACTCCATCGACCAAAATGGATTCTATTAGTTTGGGGACAACGTAGCCGCCGTCCTGGGACCCGGCCCCTCAGACAACCACCAGCAGGCCGAAGCGCTGGATGCTCACCTCAGCGTTGGGCGTGCAGGATCTCCTAATGAAGCGAGCATCATTTCCCAAGGTCCGCGCATCAACACACATCTCCACGTCATTAAACTTAGAGTAGAAGAGCACAAAAGGACAGGGCCTGCAGACACAAGGACATTCAGTGTGACAGCAGCTACCGAGGACACAGATTTGAGGGACTCAGCTGTTACTTTTTGAAAAAGTGTCCGTTGACTTCAAACTGCTGTTTCAGCATGACTTTCCCACGATACTCGATGATGAGGGAGTCTGCCTCCAGGCTCTTGGCTGCTCTCAGGATCTTCCTGTGTTTCTGGACCCGTGTGACCCGGCCCAGCTGGAACTTCAAACAGTGTAAAAACCATCAAGATCGTAGCTACGTGTTATAATGAACACATGTGTTACAGCAGGATAACGTGTCAATGCTCTGAATGCGTGTGGAGCCGGGGCCCGACCTGCATCTGTGAGCCCAGCACCGTGTTGTTGCAGGCCAGCTCGGTGCAGCTGATGGTGTCCATGGCAACAGTCGGCATGTGGACGTGTGAGGCAGACGGAGGAGCCGTGGTGCTGCTCTCGGGCTTTGGGGCAGAACCTTGAGCCTGGAGCAGTGTCTGGATATCAGAGCTGTACTGGTTGGCCAGAGCCTCCTCGTACTGGTCTGTCCACTGGCGGATCCTGCTCTCCCATCCCTCTGCTGTACTCTCATCAGGAGCAGTGGTCTCTGTGGCAGAACTCTACACAGAAGCGCATGCGGTGTCCTTACGACGACAGACACAAGGGCATGAGAACCAGAGCAACAGCTTACCTTCATCCGCAGAGACTTTCTCGAACCCTCTCGAAAAGCCTGAAAGACGAAATGAACGAATGAATGTTCCCTGTTCAGCTGTGACCCTGGAGAGTTGGGAGATGTTCCATTTCCTGTTGATCAGGACAGAGTGAGCCACGCTCACGTCTGATGTACCTTTACTTTCTTGGTTTTTTGCATTCCGCGGGCCTTGTCCATACTCTTCTTCCTCTTTTTGGATTTTCTGCTTTTGACTCGGTTAACTGTGAGCTTGATGCTGGTGGGAGTGTGCTGCGTGGCCGTGTAAGAGACGGTGGAAGGGGACACCTCTTCATCCCCGCTCTCTGTGGCACTGCTGTCTCCAGCTATGGAGGCAGAAAAGCGGCTTTACCCAGCAGGACCAGAACCAACATTCATGTGGAGAAAAGACCCAGGAAGGGTTTCTACCTGAGACGGTTTCAGGTTTCCTGTGTTGGTCGTCGTCTTCTTTCCTCCTGTCCAGCTCCCTGCAACGACAGCAGATTTGATGGTGTCTCCTCTGGCCAGAACCCATCCCACTCAACAGGACTAAGCCCAGAGGTCCATTTGTCTCAAGTTGTGTGCCGAGCACAGTTCTATTCTCCTATAAAAGGTGTTTGAAAGGTTTTAGCGGCTCTGAACCAGGTGTGGGTCTACGGTGTCTCACCTGCATTTACATTTGCTGTGTAAGTCCTCCGGGGCGCCACTACAGTGGCACCAACCGGACCCGGCCCCGTCTTCCTCCGAGGAGCTGTCGCTGTCAGCGGACTGTTCCGCTGGGGTTTGGTGATAGCGGGAGCTGTGCACCATACCATTGAGATCCATGCGGGGAAAAATGGTTTGGGAGAGAGGAGAGGCGGGAGGGGTTGGGGGAGGGGGGGCGCCATAGTTGTGATCCTGACAACACACAACGGAAGACTGTTGCATCTTCAAACAACGGGTGTTCAGGCAAAAGGGAAACGGAAAATGGAGACAAATGAAAATGAGGGCAAAATAAACATGTAAACAATACAGCTGTTAACAACCAGAGCATCACGAAACCCAACAACACCAGCTTTGTATCTCTGGTTCGACACTTCAGACCAGGTAGCACCAGACTGGTTGTTGTCTATCAAACATATGCAGTCATCTCATTAACAGGGAACTCACAGCGTAGGGCAGTACCCTATAACCATGATCCTTCGCACTCCCGCAGCTGTGGTGGTTGTAGGTCTTTTCATTCACTGCAGGACTCGCTTCAACTGACTCAGGACTGCAAGACAAAGGAAGAGAGAACCAAAATTATCAACACAACTGGTTTTTTTTACTTAACTGTTAGCAGCAAAAAAAGGAAAGACATTCATCACTAGATGGCGCCAAAAGAAAAAATGTTATTTAGAAAAATCCCTCAGTCACATTAAAACCTCAAATATTCCAAAGGAAAAACTCAGCACGGGTAGACGGACCAGAGCTGGGTCTCCTCTTCTGCATGAGTTCATTTCCACACATAATTCTCTACTCTTAGGATCTGATATCTGCAACCAATCTAGAGCCGCAGCTGTTGGAGACCTTTTGAAAAGAGACAATCCATCATTTTTGACTAATTGCTACAGAAGGGGATTAGCGCCACTGGAGAAAGCCTTTATGTTCTCAGAAATCTAAGATAAAAGGAACGTTTTCTCCATGATAGAGATGTGGTGAGACAGAAATAAAGGGTGATACGTATACCGTTCTGTTTTTGTTCTAGCCCATCAGCTAACTTAATACAGTCCTGATCAGAAGTTTAAGACCACTTGAAAATGCCCTAGAATCATATTAAGGGCTGCAGGAGTGGACGAACATCTGACTGCATGGACCATCAACTACCTCATCAACAGGCCACACAACTGTACATCTGAGGTGGTTGTGTGCAGTACTGGAGCTCCACAGGGTACGGTGCTCTCACTCTTTCTTTTCACTTTCTAGACCTCAGACTTCACCTACAACACCAGCAGCTGTCACCTCCAGAAATTCTCTGATGACTCGGCCATTGTCGGCTGTGTGTCTGGGGGAATGACCTGGAGTACAGGTCAGTCATCGTGGACTTTGTGAACTGGTGTGACTGTAACCACCTTCACTTGAACACCAGTAAGACAAAGGAAATGGCGATTGACATCCAGAGAAACACTCCTCTTCACTCACCAGTAAACATCCAGGGAGCAGACACTGAGGTGGTGGATACCTTGAGTACCTGGGTGTTCACCTCAACAGCAAACTGAACTGGTCCAACAACACAGATGCTCTGGGCCAAAGCTGCATCCACCTCCTGAGGAGACTGAGGTCCTTCGGAGTCAATTCCCAGCTGCTAAAATCCTTTTCTCACTCTGTGATTGGCTCTGTTATCCACTCTGCTGTGGTCTGTTGGGGTGCAGGCAGCTCTGGCCGAGACAGGAAGCGACTGTTGTGAAGCTAGTTCACAAAGCTAGCTCGGTTCTGAGCTAACTAGATTCAGTTGTGGAGATGTGTGAAAGATTAAAGTTTCATAGTTGTCACACACACTGGTGTGGTGAAAATTGTAATCCGCATTTGACCCATCCTCGTGGGGAGCGGTGAGCTGCAGACACAGCCACGCTCGGGAACTATTTGGTGGTTTAACCCCCCATCCAACTCCTTAAAGCAAAGTGTCAAGCAGGGAGGCATTGGGTCCCATTTTTATAGTCTTTGGTATGACCTGACCGGGATTTGAACTCTGATCTCCCAGTCCCAGTGCGAATACTCTACCACTAGGCCACTGAGCTGCTGGGGAAGATGACCTCTATCTTAAAAAAAATGTCCCACCCACCGCATTCCACTTTGGAGACCATGGACAGCTCCTTCAGAGGCAGAATGACACATCCCAGATGTACAACAGAACTGGAATCCAAGTTTTTTTAGTGTTCAAAGGTTAAGGGGCAGCAGTGGTGGAGCGGGTTGCCTCATGATCGGAGGGTCATGGGTTAGATTCCAGCTCCCACCAGGGGTATTCTGCTGTTGTGTCCTTGGGCAAGACACTTCACCCAACTTGCCTGTGTTGGTGGTGGTCAGAGGGGCCGATGGCACCAAATGGCAGCCTCACGTCTGTCAGACCACCCAAGGTGGCTGTGGCTACAAAGTAGCTCATCATCACTAGCAGTGTGTGAATGTGAGAGTGCATGCAAGCGTCTTTGAGTGTCCTAAACAAGTGCTATATAAGTTCGATGATTATTATAATTACTATTATTATTATGTTACAATAATTTCCCACTGCTTATTTTTTCCAAGTGTATGTGCTGCTGTAACAACTTTCCACTCTAGGTTCAATAACTATTCTATTCGTTTCTATTCTATTTTGCACTGTTGGATCTTGGACAGGTCTTTGGACAGATTTGGCCTTTTAAAACAATGTGGTCTTAAACATTTGATCAGCTGCATAACAGTCTGTTTCACTCTAAATGTTGTTTTCAATTAGGGCTGCTCGATTATGGCAAAAATAATAATCACGATTTTTGTGACTGAAATTGAGATCTCGATTATTTAAGACGATTTTTCAATTTATGTTGATTTTATTTGTTTTTATTCAGTCAAAAAATTGCTCAGGGCACAATCAGGACAAAAATAAATAATAAACAAGATGATCACTAAAATAACTCCTGGTTCCCAGTATAAAAAGACCAATATACTTATAGCTCATAGTCTATGACCCAAGGGCTATAGACCTTGGTTTAACTCATGTAAGTCTAACCAGCACAGACCCAAATACCAATATCTTGCAAATACTGACAGCAAGAATTATACAGTGGCATTTATAACAAATAAATGTAAATAAATTGATGTTCACAGAATGTTGCATAACATTTATTTAGTCGTGTCAAGCTGCTGTAGGAGCGTGCACTAGCACCGTGTCCTCAGAGAGATTAGTTATTATTTATCAGCGTGAGAAAGTTATTTCTACCTTATTTATAAACTATTTATTTACAGGTCCATCATTTAATGTAATAATTGTCCCAACCACAGCTGCACCCCCACCCCCCCAACCCGGTCTCACAGCAATCGGGGGCAAGCTGCATGTATGTTTAGCACGCCGCACGCGCACATTTAGCCGTTTTTAGCGGCTCAGGAGTCCGCAGGTGCGGTGTGTGTGTCACTCACTCTGGTTACTCCAACAAGAAGCCGGCTCCGAGAGCCGTTTCTGTAGCGACCGACACATCACTACATCATTCCCTTTCCTAATGTCCTGAAGAACGGTCCGGAGCGCAGGCGGAGTGTTTAGCTAACCTTCAGGAAATGTCGACGACCGTTATTCAGAAAGTAGCTAAGGGTTACCAGAGATGTTTCTGAGGTGTTCACTAGGTACTTTTAAGATTTAAAAAGTCAAGAAGGGGATCTGAAAAGCTGTTAGAAATAGCGACAAAGTCGCTAAGCTGGCAACACTGTGGGAGGAGCGCTTCATTTGCAACTCAGGGCAGTGCAAATGGGAGGAGCAAATAATCGGCTTGTTTTCTTTTTTATAATCGTTCAAAACTCAGATCGTAATTGTGATTAAAATTCGATTAATTGAGCAGCCCTATTTTCAATTAATTACCGCTCAAAAACGAAGTTCTACTTGGAACTCAACCATGCCTTTTGGTCATTTTTAAGAGGCCTAAACTTTTGATCGGGATTGCAAGAGTTGCTCTATATCGGACCAACACATGGCTGAAATAGCCACAGACGGCACAGTAACAGCCAGAACTAAACAAAGCTGGACTTTTCCGAGTCAAACTAAGACATGGCTCTAGTGGATGTGCTCATCATAGCGTCCCCACACAGAAGTAGCTTGAGGTGATCAGTGTGAAGTGACCTGTATTTCACACAGAAGCACAATGCAGCACAACAATGATGAAGATGTTGAACGTTCTGCTCAGTCTGCGTTTTGTCAGTAAACAGCTACAGGCAGCAAGGCAGAAAGCTCTGGAACAACTAGTGACTTCCCCTAGCCAATCGGTGGCCGACAGCTGCTGGCGTCGCATTTTTGGACCAGGTCAGCATGCAAGCGTGGCAAGGTGGATAAACGAGGGCCCGGGCGGGATTCGATCCCCAGACTCCCAGGTGAGAGTCATACGCTCTAACCAGTCAGCCAAAGGGACATCCCCTTGGCCAAGTAGCCAGGGCGCATGATCAATCGGGACCCTGTGACAGGATGCTCACACTGTCACACAAGGAACCACAAAAAAGCAGGTACTTAAAAGTTGGAAAGGGTTGTCGAACTAAACCGCACTGATCAGTCTACAGTTGGTTCAAAACTCCGTGGCCAGATTTCTGACAGGGACAAGGAGGTCGACACACATCACTCCTGTGCTGGCATCATTACATTGGTTCCCTGTAGGTTTTCAGGCCAAGTTAAAAGTTATGTGCTATGTCTTCCAGTCTCTTTATGGTGGTGCCTCACCATACTTGGCAGCATTAATAAAAAGGCCAGGGTTTTTACTGCGTTGAGATTTGCGTGGCGGCCGCCTCCAGCTAATTTTGTGCCACCCCAGCCTGATTTCACTCTGCCCCCAGTTATATGGATGTTATTTTAACTGCAGTTGCAGCATTGCGCCACAGGGGCGCTGTATCAGCAGCGGTACACCGAAAAGCACGAAAACCGCTGCAGAAAAAGATCAAAAATTGCTTCTCTCGCTAGAGCTGAGGAAAATAATCAAATAATCGATGCATCGGGATGCGGACATAAACGATTCAGCACCGTAGAAGAGGAGCCATAATCGATTATAGTGGAATGTAGTTTTGTTTTTTAACAGCGGCACCAGCGCAGATCCAAATCTGTCAGAGTGAGTGTCCTCCACATTTACCAAGTGGTTCCGCCTTAATGTAGTACTGCAGGGCTGAGCGCTAGAGTGTTAACCTGAGACCGAACCGAATCAGCCCGACCGGTTCTGTTGGATTTGGGCAGTGAATTAAGTTAATTGAGCGGGTTGTCATGCGGCGCGCTCCGCTCTCTCGATCGAGAGAGCGAGAGAGAGAGAGAGAGAGAGAGAGAGAGAGAGAGAGAGAGAGAGAGAGAGAAAGAGAGAGAGAGATAGAGAGAAAGCGAGAGAGAGAGAAAGAGAGAGAGAGAGAGAGAGAGAGAGAGAGGGAGGATCGGAGGACGATGCTCCAAACACGCGTTATTATTTTCATAATTTAATTATTATTTCTCCTGGAAGCGCTCAGTCAGACCGAGTGTTGTGATGTCGGGAGATCCGGTCTTGGGGAGGGGGCGGGGTCAGTGACGGCGGCTGCAGCGTGATCATCTGTCTCTTTTATTTAGGGACACAAAGAAGTTAAAAGGAGAGAGAGATAGAAGATAGAAGTTCTTGTTCCACTTTATTCTTTTGTTCCATGATGATAAACTGATGTTAAATTCAGCTTAAAGAGAAACTGGGAGGAAGCTTTGGTTCATTTTAAGTTACAGGAGGTCTTGTCTCCTATCTGCTCCTCCAGAGACAGCATGGACATGAGGGTGAAAGGGTGAGGGTCCCACAGGACAGGTTAGTGGAAAGGTTTGTAGTTAGCTGGTTAGTGAAGGAGATTTCAGAAATGAACCACTGGGTTCAAATAAAATAACAAACTAAGTCAAACATTTCATTTGGTGTTATTTCTGACACCCTTCAGCTGCGGCATAAATATCTGACTCTAGAGCTGCTCAGAGACATGAAACACTCATATATGAACCCATTATGGATTTTATTATTACATTATGTGTCCTGTAGGTTTTCAGAACATTTTTAGATTTTGTGAGTTTTTGCAAAGCGTGTTTTTCTCAGCCTGAGGCGTGGTGTTGAACCAGGAAACACGTGTTTTACTTTGTTAAATCTTCTTAATGTTTAAATGTTTTGTCCTAACCTGTTGTGGATGGAGAGCTTTTCAGGGATGGCAGCTTGTGTCAATTACGCTTTTGATTAGAAAATAAAAAGCAATTATCTGACATCTTCTATTTATCGATGAAAACAAATCAATATGAAATAATCGTGATGCATCGGGATATCGAATTGAATCGTTGACCCAATAATCGTAATCGAATCGGGAGACAAGTGAAGATTCACACCTCTATCTCTCTCTAGTTGGTACGTATCTGTGGTTGGTGCCATTGACGTCCTGATTTCCCCCCAGGCTCTTCCACATCAGAGCAGGGCTGTACAGCGCGACGTAAAACACTGTCGGTGCGTGTGTCTATTTTTAAACGTACCACTGGTGCAACATCTTTGAATTACTATTTTCCCCAGAACTTTATTGAACAAAAGTAAGAAAAATGCTTTTTACTGGTGAACAGTGTGGAAATGTGGATGCAGTGGAGGAAAATAAAGGAACCAGCAAAGGCACAAAGGCAGAACCGGTCCAAAGTTTGGGATGAAAAGTGCAGCTACACGCAGATTGGCTAATGCTAAAGCTAACGGTAGCAGTCTCACGATCAAGTGGCGCACAGAAAAATATATGATGATGTAAAACTGAGAAAGACTCAACTGTACATGCTGATGAAAAGTCCCCACCATCCTGTTTGTTCTGCATCCTGCAGCGCTACGGACCAGAACCGCTGCAGATACGGGTCACATTACTGCTACAAGGCTACGGCAAGCCGTTTGGTATATAATTCACAAACGCTTCTATCTTTGAACATAATTTAAACTGGATTATTGCCAACCCGTACATAACAGACGTGCCACCATTACACTGTTAGCAGCAGAAATGACATGTTATTAGCATTTCCAACACAAATGCATGTTAATGAAATACATTATATTTTACTGCATACATTTATGTGTTATTGTGACTAAGATGAGTGTTATTAATACAAACCTAACATGTTACTGAAATGTAGGTCACATGTTTAAAAACATTTTAACTATAAATATCAGATGGAAAAAGGAACTAAACACCAATCTAATGCATATTATTGAGCTTTTTACAATATTTGTCCTTTAAAAAAGTGAGGCAGTTGAATGCACATAGTATACATGTGCTGGCGCACGGTCAGGATGGTACCACCTCTGCCTCGGTTTAAGCCAGGAAAAACCCTGAAGGCACACCCCATCACGGACTCTACGTTCGGCTGATCTGGAGCTACTGATTGTCCCACAGACTAGGTACTAGGGGTTATATCAACTAGTCGACTTCACCGCTCTATAGTGACTTTTTATGGTTTCATCGACTAGTCGCTGTCACATGATAATGACAGAAAGAATGGAGTCCTCGGAAAAGACAGCAGGTGACAAGCCCCTGCGCGTTGGGAAGCGACGCGCTGTGCCAGAACGTCGGTACTGAAGCCTGCCGTAAAACGGACATTTGACCGAATTGTGACCTTTACCCTCTTGCAATTTAACCTTCCCCTCACCCCCATCCTAACCTTAACCAGCTTGCACATGTAAAGCTCTGATCGTTGACACTCTCCAGACATCAGCATCCTAAGCACGGCCACAGTAACGTTATCAAATCAGGTGTCGCCACCTCAAAAACTAATTTAACACGCGATCGTTCATGTCGGCTCATTTCCTTTGATGTTTTCTCTCTTTTATTCTTTTATTTGTGCCTGATGCGTTTTGCTGCTGTGGAGAGGGACGCATCACCTGGTTTGTCCTCCGGTGACGCACCCCACCGGTGCAGCCGGCGAGCAGCGAGCACTCCGCTGTTTTAGCGGTCGGTAGATCTTTTAGAACTGCAGTTCAAAGGTAACTCATGAGGTGAATATATATGAACCCAGGTAGCAGTTTCTCTTTAGGACTGAGAGGAGATGCAGGAAGATAATAAACAGACAGGACAGAAAAATAGTCAAATAAAAACAAGTTAGTTTTTGTACCTGCTGGTTGCAACAAACAGACACCACTGAAGGTAATCAGAAGTGAGGAACAGAAAATGAAATAATTATTTTAATGTTTAGAGCAGCAGGAACTCCGAGAGGCTGCAGGCGCATCAGTGAGTTTGCGGCCGCTGCGCAGGGGGAGGGGGGAGAGGGCTGAAGCAGGGGGAGGGGGGAGAGGGCTGAAGCAGAAACTACCGTTGTTAAAAGAAATGTGTTTAACTTAGAAAATGTGGGCGCAATTTTAATTGTCAAAAACTCCAGCGACCCCCTGGAGTCAGATTTTTCATTATCATCAGAACACTGAAATATTGTGTATAACTGTCAGATTACATCGCACCGCCTCTAGTCCTGATCCATAAAGTTTTGGATCGAGTTAAGTGAACCTATATCACCCACACAATTTATGAACAAATTCTGACCAAAGTGATGAAATCATTCCATATCTGGACTAATAAGAGGAAGGACCTAGATTTAGTACTTACTCTGATCCGGCAGCCATATCGGAGTAGGACGTTTCAGGTGTAGTGACTCCTAGAGGAATTGCTATGCTCATGACGTCCAGCACGACCAGGCGTGGGGATGGGGGGGTGGGGTGGAGGACAAGATGGAAAGGGGGCGGGGGGGTGGGGAGTGGGGGGTGGGGAGTGGGGCGACACGAGAAGAACTATGAAGTCCAAATGACAGCAACAGACCACTCCAGAGGGGGGGCACTGTTGAGCCGCCACTCACGGCTCACAGTCATTGAGGACCTGTGGAGACAAGAGAAGGTAGCATTAATTACCGCCCCACCGACCCTAGACCAGCCAGACCCACACAGTGTGCAGATGGTAGTTCGGTAGGAGGTGCAGTTCCAGTCAACCGTGTCTTGATTCCAACCAACTAAACATGGAATCCATGTTAAAAGACGAGTGTTGTTACATGCTAGCTTTGTAGCTTGCATGCGACATCAAATTTGATTTTTTCTACATGCCGATGTCATTTCTGTAATAAGAGCATTGTCACATCAACGTACACTCCTTTCACATCAACTCTAGCTCGAATAAACCAGAACGCTCTGTGTTCAGTTTCCAGACATCCGAGAAAAACAATATTAGTTCTGATTGTTGCTCATCACCATGAAGAAACAAATCCACAAACACACCTATCTGAGTGAATGAAAACAACCTTCTACGTTATTATGGCAGGACACATTTCTGTAGTCAACATGGATGAGAAAATCGTTATGGAAGTATTGAAACATGTGTTAGAACTGCTGAGCTGAAAACTGAAGATTTTCATGATTCAAATTCACGTTTTTCTGTCTCCTCCTTGAACCGTCACCTTATCGTGATGGAGGAGTTTGAGTGCCCTATTGATCCTAGGAGCTATGTTGTCTGGGGCACTTTGTGCCCCTGGTAGGGTCTCCCATGACAAATGGGTCTTAGGTGAAGGGTGAGACAAAGAACTGTTTCAGAAGATCTTTCATGGACGTAAAAACAAAAAGTCGGCGTACCCGGCACGGAGGGTTACCGGGTTCCCACCCTGGAGCCAGGCCTGGGGTTGGGGCCCGTGAGTGAGCGCCTGGTGGCCGGGCCCAGCCCGAACTGGATACATGGGCTCATCCAACTGTGGACCCACCACCTGCAGGAGGAGCATGAAGGGTCCGGTGCAGTGTGGATCGGGTGGAAGACCAAGGCGGGAGCTTTGGCGGTCCGATCCCCGGACAAGGAAACTAGTTTTTGGGACATGGAACGTCACCTCACTGGCGGGGAAGGAGCAGGAGCTTGTGGCAGAGGTTGAGCGGTACCGGCTAGGTATAGTCGGACTCACCTCGACACATAGCATTGGCTCTGGAACCCAAGTCCTTGAGAGGGGTTGGACACTCTCCTTTGCTGGAGATGTTCCGGGTGAGAGGCTGAGGGCTGGGGTTGGCTTTTTGTTAGCCCCGAGACTCTCTGCCTGTGTGTTGGGGTTTACCCCGGGGGATGAGAGGATAGCTTCCCTGCGCCTTCGGGTCGGGGAACGTGTCCTGACTGTTGTTTGTGCTTATGGGCCAAATATCAGTTCAGAGTACCCACCCTTTTTGGAGTCCCTGGGACGAGTGCTAGATAGTGCTCCATCAGGGGACTCCATTGTCCTGCTGGGGGACTTCAATGCTCACGTGGGCAATGACAGCATGACCTGGAGGGGTGTGATTGGGAGGAACGGCCCGCCTGATCTGAACTCGAGTGGTGTTTCATTATTGGACTTTTGTGCAAGCCGAAGTTTGGCCATAACGAATCCACGGGTGATGGAGGGGGCATGGGAGTTTGCCCAACCAATCCACCTGTGTTTTGTGGATTTGGAGAAGGCTTATGACCGTGTCCCCAGGGGCACCCTGTGGGGGACGCTCCAGGAGTATGGGGTGGGTGGCTTTCTGTTAAGGGCCATTCAGTCCCTTTACCAGAGGAGCGTGAGTTTGGTCTGCATAGCCGGTAGTAAGTCGGACCTGTTCCCAGTGAGGGTTGGACTCCGCCAGGGCTGCCCTTTGTCACCGGTTCTGTTCATTACCTTTATGGACAGAATTTCTAGGCGCAGCCGTGATGTGGAGTAGGGCTGCAGCTATCGAATATTTTTGTAATCGAGTACTCTATCGAATCTTTTATCAATTAATTGAGTACTCTAATAAATTACTCTTTTGCGTTTTGTAAACCATTATATCAAATAGCATGTTATAAATATGAAAGACCTCTTGAAATGAGGAAGCAGTTGCCAGTTATTCCTCAAGTTTTATTCAAATTTAGTTTTCAAAACTTCAGCACTTCAACTTTACTTCACAGTAAACAAATGCGAGCGGCTGCGGCCCAAACAGAACCAGAACCGTTCACGGCGCATGCGCAAACATGGCTCGCCAGCTGTTTCCCTATTAGCACATGTTCGTTTTAATTTATACACTTTTTTGTCTCACACTAACAAGGATTGTCGAAAGCACGTTTGCCGTGGTTATGTCAAATTATACTGATCACACAACATTTATTTACTTCCTTTCGTTTTCCTCCGCCACTCATAAATACCTGTGTCCTCCTGCAGCAATCCCGAGGGACAACAAATATCAATAACACAATAAAAAGTCCGACGTGTTGTGTAAAACTATTTTTTAGCACATTTTAACTTCGACGTGTTGCTACCAGACGTACGGTGGGAGCTGAAACTGAGTGCTACAAATGAAAAAGTCGCACAGTGTCTGCAGAATATATAGAAATACAGGCTAAAATGCATTATCTTGTAGAGGCTCCGAGTCCACTTGCAGAAGTGACATTTACATGTGGCTGTTTCCTGGTCAGGTGCTGCAGCATCGAGGAATATGGTGTGGTAGGCTAAATCCATTTTACAGTATTTACAGTATTTATTGAATGACCCGTTTGTTACTAATTGTTAGTTACAGAAACTAGCATGCTCCATTATAAGATGGAGAGCTCAAAATGTTCAAAGGTTAGATTACAGTTAACGGCAACAAAAACATGTTTAAAACACTATTTATGTTTGCACACAATAAAGAGAAAGAACAATAAAAACAAGTAACAAAATAAGACAATAAGAATAAAACTAAGAATGACAAAAAATCTGACTTATCGTTCACAAAAAGAGATGGTGGTAGGTAGGGATTTAAGAGAATACCGTTACACCGCCTGATATAAAGTTCAAGTTAAGATTCAAAAGCATTTTGCTGTTGTTGCACAGGTGTACAATGAAATAGATTTTTGCTAAGTCATGTCGTTTATGAGATATTATTTGTATCGCATTTGATACAGTGGGTGTCTTTGGCAACGTTTTGTTAAAATTAACGTTCATTCTATACAAAAAAATTGTCCACAACGTTTTACAATTATAGAACAAGTTTTTTCGAAGAAAAATGTTCACATAACACTTTTTACAGCCTTTTCGTTTCACACTGTGGTCGGCAGAAAAACGGTTTATTTCCTGTTCAGGCAAAGATGCACCTTACACTTCCCACAGTAGACATGTGAAAAGTGATTGCCGGAGCAGTGTTTGTGTCATACGGGCAAAGTCGGTGTTTATTGTGTTTTTCCTTCCAGTGTGGTGTATTTTTAGTGTGTATTCTTTTTACTTAGTTTTAGTGCATGGGATGCTTTTATTTTGGAGAGCCCAAGAAACTGGGAGGATGTGTGATTTTATTTTGACAAGCTTGGACAGATGACATCCGGACCGGGGCAATTATCTGCACCGGTGGCAGATTAGGAGCGCCTTAGGTGGAGACGGCGGCAGAAAGCGGAGAGTCGCCGGGTGAAAGGACACCGATTGTCTGTGACGAGGCTTCATGGAGATGTGAGCAGGGTATTCCTCTGCCCTGGCGTGTGAGTAGCGGCCTGTGACAAGGTGTGACCCGTGGTGTGCGATCGAGCAGTGACTGCCGTTAAAATTCACTGACAGGTGTACCCGCGACGGAGTAGGACGACGGCATGGCGCGGCTGAGTCAGTGACTGATCTGCAGGAGGAAGTGGGCGATTGAGGGAAACGGCGGTGCAGCAGACACGCGTCTTGAAGGAGGAGGCGAGCTATCGAGGGAAGAGGAAAACGGCGGTGTGGCGGACAAGCATCCTGAAGGAGGAGGAATCTGCCCCGCAGCGTCCAGATAAGGCTGCAGACTCTCACCGGGCCCAGTTCCGGCAACCGTTCTAGTGACTGGCCTAAGGCTTTTTAGTGATGTTTTGAATAAACCCTGGTGCGGTGGTTAACGGCTGATTCCTTTGATCTCTGGCAGTCGCTCACAACTTTACCTGGTGTAACCCTTGGGTGTGATTTGGTATCCTGTAGATATATAGTAGAGCCCACCTACCCGGTAGGAAGGTGCCACATTTGCATCTCTGTCGGGTTTCCCATGTAGGAAAATGGTCAATCCCATCCTTTCTCACATCAGTAGGTAGGGCTGCTCCATTAATCGAATTTGAATCACGATTACGATTTGAGTTTTGAACAATTATAAAAACAAAACAAGCCGCTTATTTGCTCCTCCCACTTGCGCTGCCCCGAGTTACAAATGAAGCGCTCCTCCCACAGTGTTGCCAACTTGGCGACTTTGACGCTATTTCCAGCAGCTTTTCAGATCCCCTTCTTGACTTTTTAAATCTAAAAGTACCTAGCGAACACCTCAGAAACATCTCTGGTAACCCTTAGCTACTTTCTGGATAACTGTCGTCGACATTTCATGCAGGTTAGCTAAACACTCCGCCTGTGCTCCGGACCGTTCTTCAGGACATTAGGAAAGGGAATGATGTAGTGATGTGTCAGTCGCTAAAGAAACAGCTCTCGGAGCCGGCTCCTTGTTGGATTAACCAGAGTGAGTGACACACACCGCACCTGCGGACTCCTGAGCCGCTAAAAACGGCTAAATGTGCGCGTGCGGCGCGCTAAACACATGTGCAGCTTGCCCCGATTGCTGTGAGACCGGGTTGGGGGGTGGGGGTGCAGCTGTGGTTGGGACAATTATTACATTAACTGATGGATGATTTGTAAATAAATAGTTTATAAATAAGGTAGAAATAACTTCCTCACGCTGAAGCCCTTGATCATAGACTATGAGCTATAAGTATATTGGTCTTTTTATACTGGGAATCAGGAGTTATTTTAGTGATCACCTTGTTTCTTTTTTCTTTTTGTCCTGATTGTGCCCTGAGCAGTTTTATGACTGAATGAAAACAAATAAAATCAACATAAATTGAAAAATCGTCCTAAATAATCGAGATCTCAATTTCAGTCATAATAATCATGA